CAACCCACTTGCTTTGAGCTGGGACGAACCAGCGATTCTTTGCATGGGAGATGGTTGCTTTAACAGGTAAGCTAAAGACTGTGGCCTCTTGCCTCTGTGGCTAGACCACCTTTTGAGGTCAGAAGAGTGAGGTTTACTTGCACATCACTAGTTGGTCTCCGTTACACTCTCCCCCTTAAACCCCATCTGGGTCACGACACAAATGCAAACTGCCAGTCCTACACAACCTGCTTGCTCTGAGCTGGGATTGAAACGCTGATTCTTTGCCTGGTAGTCGGTTGCTCTAATCAGGAGGCTAAAGAGCGCTTCAGTAGCTCACCTCCATTACATTAGCACTGTGGAAATAGATGCTGATATGGGGATATACATAAAACAATGGGAAAATATTGACATTATTTTCCCTTCAAGTTATTAGTTACTTTTTAAAGACTTGCATTTGAATCCTGATAGATGCATAGTTTTTGTTTTGATTTGCATTTAGGTGATTCACATTTTAATGGTCCAGAGAAGTTCTTTGAAATATGCAATTTTATTTAATGTTTGACATAATCTTAACTGAAATGCAAAGATGGAGTGGGACATAGTGTAGCCAAGTTTTGATGTATTTGGATGGAAGTGAAAAACTGCAAGCTTTGGATGCTTGAATCAAGTTTATACCTTCTAAACTGCAATTTTGTCACTATTTCAGGAGAGTTATTACAACCTAACAGACTTCCTCCTCACCATTTCTGTTTGTTAGCATAGCGCTGACAAAACTGACAGTTGGAGGGCCATGGTTAAGTTTGTTAGCCATTAGCCCAACACCTCAGACAGACATAATCTGAGAATTGAACTAGTAATAATAATGATTCTTTGCATTTATATAGCGCTTTTCTTGGAACTCAAAGCACTTTGTACATTTTTAGAGGGAATCACCTACCACCAGTGTGCAACATTCACCTGAATGATGAGACTGCAATCATATTGCGCCAGACCCCACACTACACACCAGCTCATTGGTGGAGAGGAGACGGAGAGATGAAGTCAGTTATGACATTGGGATGGTTAAGGGCCATGATGGACAAAGGCTCGCTGGCAAATTAAGCCAGGATGCCTAGGTTACACCCCTACTCTTTTTTTTTTCGATGGACATCCTGGGAATTTTAACGACCACAGAGAGTCAAGACCTTGGTTTAACGTCTCATCCAAAAGACGCTGCTCACTGAGCAGTATAGAGTCCCCATCAATATACTGGGGCGTTAGGACCCACACAGACCACAGGTTGAGCACCCCCTGCTGGTCTCACTAACACTACTTCTGCCAGCAACCTAGCTTTAAGTATTTCTTAATTATTAGATTTTTTTAGCCTACTGAATTCTCTTCCATTCTATCACACTCCAACACTAAAAAATTTCATATGAAGCCATTCATACCGAAGATCTTATCAGTGTAACGTGAACTTGAATCGAACAGGCGCTTTTACCCATCCACACTTGCTATAGACGAGCATCCATGTTGCTCCTTTAGGCCTGTTCACATTTAGACTCTCTGTGTATGTGTGTGTGTGTAACCTCACACTACCCTTTCTCTGCCCACCGCCTTGGTGTGCTGTATTTTGAGTCTTGGCAGGCCTAATTGGATGAAGTGGAGCATGCTGTAATGTGTTGTCATGGTGAGGCAGCGGCGGGCTGTGATGTGATTTGCTGTAGTGGCGGTCAGGGCTGTAAATTCTCACCGATGGAATCAAACGCCCAGTGTGTGAACCAAACGTAGGTGTGCATATCATGTAGCTCCGCAATCCAGCGCAACGATGCCAGCTCATCTCCAGTATCACAGACATACCCACACACACACACACACACACACACACACACACACACACACTTCACCTCCACCCAAACAGACAGCAGAGGAACTAGAGCTGAATTGATCAGTATTGATGTGCGGGAGTCTGTCGGGCCATAATGTTTGTCGCCTCAGGGAATGTTTGTGTGCCGGAGCATGTCCTTACAGTATGATAGTGTGTATGTGTGTGCGAATAACGGGACCCACACACACACTTTCTTTCTTTCCCTCTACAACAGTGTGCGTCTATGCAGGCGGCGTCTGTGTGCGATAGATAACCCAAAATTCATAAGCTATGAATCAGGCTTAGGCTTCCTTTGATGTCCCATACTACGAGGAGACATTCCAAAGCTTCTGTATAAATGTGTGTGTGTGTGTGTGTGTGTGTGTGTGTGTGTGTGTGTGTGTGTGTGTGTGTGTGTGTGTGTGTGTGTGTGTGTGTGTGTGTGTGTGTGTGTGTGTGTGTGAAGAGCGAGTCGTATTAGCAGTACGAAGGCAAGAGCAGCAGCTGTCAGCTCGTACCCATCAGTTTGGCTTTGACTCTATTGTCTGAGCAGACAGTGGGTTGATGCCTGTAGGCTGGCACTGCCACACACACGCCACAACCACTGTTACTTCACACATGAATGTTGTGTTGCACCTCGTGTGCTGTAATTCATAATGATCAGGTTCATTATTTTGATATTCTGTTGAAGTCCAAATTATTAGCCCTCCTGTGAAATTTCACAAGTGCTGTTCAACTGAGATACTTTTGTAACACGTATTTAAACATAATACTTTTAAGGACCAATTTCTAATAACTAATTTCATTTGTCTTAGCCATAGTTACATTCATTCGTTCATTTTCCTTCGGCTTACGGCTGATTTATGCATCGGAGTATCGTCCAGAGCAGCCTTCACGCGGTCACATAGCCCACGCTGACATGCACCTCTCAAAAAATGTAACTACACCTCGCAACGACGTGTAGCACAAGCTCTGTGATTGGTCGATTTGGTAGCTGTGATGAGTGTGCTGAGAGCTGCAAGCCTGATGGAGCGAGTGTTGAGTCCAATGAAGGAGCTCCAGATGGAAAGTTTTGTTTTGTGTTTACCTTTTGATTAAAGTTGTTGTACGTCCGCTGGTTTCCGCCTCTGATTGTGTTTTAGCTACTTTTAGTGTTTAGATTAAGCCAAACACCTGTGAGGAAACTCGACCCAGAGGAACATAAAAACCTACTGCCTGCTAGCGTTTCGGAGTTTTATTGCAGAGCAACACAAACAGCACACAGAAGTATAGATACACAACTACGCGCAAGGAAGGCGCCTTGGGTCACGCTGATCACTCAACGCAAAAGTAAAAATCAGCCTTTAATCTCTATTTCAGAGATGAACCAGCAATCATCGTCAACTATATTCCAGCGTACGTTTTACACAGCGGATGCCCTCCCATCTGCAACCCAGTATTGGGAAACACCCACACACTCTCGCATTTACAAACAAACACACACTCATACACTACAACCCATTTTATTTTTATTTAATTCACTTATAGTGCTTGTCTTTGGACGGTGGTGGAAGCTAGAGTACACGAAGGAAACCTATGCGAACACGGGAAACACATGCAAACTCCACACAATGCCAACTGACCTAGCTGGGACTAAAACCAGTGACCTTCTTGCTATTAGCTAAGAGTGCCAATCACTAAGCCACTGTGTTGCCTTTACCATGGTTACAGAATCTTAATTCTTAAGCTTAAAGTGCAGTTTAAAGACTTAAGTCTGTTTTTAGGTTAACTAGGCAAGTTAGCCGGTGTTAATAGCCTAGTGGTAAAGTGCACAGACATATAGCACTGAGGTGCTTATGGCGACCCAAGTTCGATTCCTGGCTCAAGGTCCTTTGCTGATCCTTGCCCCCCTCTCTGCTCCTCATGTATTGCTGTCCCATCTCTGCTGTCCTATAATAAAGGCGAAAAAACCCCTAATGTATATATAAATAGACAAGTTATTGGACAATAGTCTGTTCTGTAGACAAGGGTGCCAATCTTAATTCTTAAGGGTACTAATAATATGGACCTTAAAATTGACCTAAAGATGCTTTAATTACAGCCAAACTAAATGAAATAAGACTTAGAAGAAAAAATATTATAGGAAATATTGTGAAAATTTCTTTGATCAGTTTAAGAACACAGATTTCAGAGGAGAGCTAATAGTTTTGACTTTACCTGTATGCCATGTCATGATCTTTTACTGTAGTGTTTCTCTTTCTGATATGCAAAATCACTTTCTGACAAACATGCAAGTAAGGCTGCACAGTATTGGAAAAATCTGACATTGCGAAATTTATTTGTGATAAATATTGCAATATGAATATAGTTTCACAATTTGGTTTGAATAGGGAGTTTTTTGGGGGGAAGTCTAACAGTATTTAGGGAAAAGAAATGAATAATCACAAAGCAAAAAAAAATCATTTTTGTCTTGTTTTTAGTCTAAATATCTAAAAAGTCTTAGATAAAGTACAAATATTGTTTTGTTTTTGCCTTTAGACGAAATAAGTAAAAATTAAGTTTCTTCTTGAAACAAGCACTTCTTAAAACAAGTAAAATAGTCATGTTTTCACTTTGAAATGTAGGCATAAATTTTAAAAAAGAAAAAGCTTTTTTTGTTGCACAAATCATAACAATTCTGCCTAAATCATAAAATAAACCTTCAAACTTAATCTTTTTTTGGGCTTCTAAACTCTCTTCAAATGCTCAATCACAGGCTTTAAAAACATGCAAATGGTAAAGCTTCACTCTATCATGGTTAGCAGTGACAGTAATATAGCAGTGACTCTGCAAATCACATACAGTATGTTCTGTAGCTCCTGATCAACTACTGCAGGGGTGGCCAACCCTGTATCAAACACACCTGCCTGTAATTATCACGTGGTGTGTTTGATATGGGTAGCAACTGAAATCTGCAGGAAGATGCCTCTCCAGGAACAGGGTTGGCCACCCCTGAACTATTGTGTAATTCAACATATCTTGGCATAACTTGCGATGTGACTTGCAGATGTGCACATTGCGATATCAACGCTGAAACTTTAGTGTGCAGCTTTACACAAAAGTATAGCATGTAACAATAGCTTGCTTTTTTGGTGTTTCTGTAGTAGCAGGTATTAGTAATAATGCTGACATCTCACTCTGTTCTTTTTGACAGATCACACTGATTTCTGACAGCTTGGTGATGCCCACAAAAGGAACTGGATGACCTGGAGCTCATGGCCTCCTGTGAACTGGGACTTTACATAATTTCTCAGGTAAAATGTTTATTTACTCATCACTTAGAAGTGGGAATTCACATTGTTGCGTTACATTTCTGTTTTGCCTAGTGAGCTCACTACATGTTGAGACATCTGATGTGTTGAGTGTTTGGTTTCAGATTTTGATTTTGATTGCTTTTCTGAGTGTCTTAAACATATTAAATCAAAACGTACATTGTCTGATTTAACCCCACAACATAGTGAGTGTAGGCATTACCCAAGCATCATTTTTGAACATTGTCATAGACTTGTGATGTTGAAATTGAAATGTTTGTACTGTAGAGCCCTGTTTTTTATTTTATTCCTATTGATATATCTGAATTAAATTTTTTTATTCTGTTATTTTTTTGTTCTCTGTCTTGATGATAGAAATGCATTTAGTGTGAGGTCCCTTTCATTGCTGCTTGCAGCTTTAATTCCTATTGATACTTCCTAATTAATTTTTATTCCTGTTATTTTTGGTTCTCTGTTTTAATGATAAAAATATATTTGATGCTAGGTCCCTTTCTTCCCTGCTTGCCACATTAATTCCTATTTATATTTCCAAATTTTTTTTTGTCTGCTATTTTTTGTTCTCAGTTTATTAAGAGACTAACACTGGTGGATCTATGGATGCACATGGATGAGCTGAAAGAGAAAAACTGTCAAAAATATAAGCCAATAAAGGGTTATACTGTGCTGCTTGGCAGTGTTCAGTGTACATATTTCACTCTTACTCCAGTTGTAGTCACTTCAAGTGCCTTTCATATCTGATACAGAAAGCGCTGTTCTATGAAACCCATTCATTTCAATAGCTTGTGCCACATAATGAAGGTTTGTTTGAGCGCCGATCTAAGTGCAAGATTAGCTTACTTGTTGAAAAATGTTCATCTCTGTGGAGTATTAACAGAACATGCATGAAAGAAAAGCAAATTCCTCTCAAATATTCCACCAACAGGACATTTCTATGACTCTTTACTCCTTCACTGTCCTCCACTGTCCTTTTTACTGTCAGTAAAATGTGGCTAATTTATTGGCTTGTGTTTTTTTTTTAATCGGTGTGATTCAACTTTTTTTCAAAATTTTAAAAGTAATAAATAAAACACAACAAGATTATACATATTTATTACAACATTGTTTGGCTATATCCCATAATTTTAATTTTGGTGCATCTCTAGTGGGATCAATTTTCTTTTGCTTTTATTCTTTCTAAAGTTACGTTTTATTTTATTTAAACCGTTGATAAACAATTGTGTAATGATTGTTCCTTAAAAGTAGTTGTACAGTTTTAATGTAATATGCAAGTTTGGTAAAAAGTGTTTCTGATGTTTGTATTATGTACAAGTTTTAATCTCACAAAAGAAAGATTAAATCAATATAGTATGTTATTAGAGGAAAGAGGATTTCAAGTGGTGCAAAATAAAAGAAAGCATTATGACAAAAAAACCCAAACTAGCAGAAAATTATGCTCTAAACTGCTTTATAGAAAATAAACAAAAAAACATCTTGAGCGATTGCAGCACGCCATGTCTAAACTACACCTCTAACCAAAATATACGTAGAAAATTTCCAGCGAGTGGTGCTCACTTCTAAACTGTTGTGTTTAGAGAGTGGAGTTTTCTGCGTGTTGTGAGGTGTATGTCACGTGACGTCTAAACTCCTCGATTCCCTGGGGAATTCAGAAACTAATGATCAGGGACCATGAAATAAATACATACAAAATGGTACCAGCATATCTAAACTGAAACAAGAACAAAATCAAATTCACATCATCATAATATCACACACAAACCAAAACACACAAACAGAGCAAAAGGTAGGCAAGACAAAAGCAAGAGAACAAGTTTCCCTGCTCGTGTCCTTTTAAACTTTGGGCTTCCTTCATGATTGTCAGCGAAGGTGATGACATCACAGAGAGTATTGAAGATTGACATTTCCAGGGAATAGTGGAAAACTCGACTGGGCGGTCGTAAGAAAATTGATTGATCGATAAAGGGAACAGACACATACATAGGCCCATAACAGACGTTTTTCTGACACACGCTATATACGGTAGACCAATCAAAAGAGAATAAGCCATCTGACCAATAAGAGCAGCATGTACTCTTGGAAAGGAGAAGAGGTTAGAAAGAACATAATTTTGAATAAATCATTGTGATTTGCAATGTACATTATGACAAAATTAAAATGTTTTGGCCTCAAATGCTTGGAAACTTATGAGACCTCCATAGATGACTTGTGCTACGTCGAAGATGTTCCTTTTTGGCTAGTCTGAGCGTTACATACATGTTGAAACGTTTGATTTGACCTGTATGATCCAACACTCAATGTAGTTAGCTGACATCCTACCTAGGCAGCATTTTTAAACAACATAGACATGTTGGAACATTTAAGATCACTTGCTTAGTTTTGGGCTTACCCTTGACATCATTTGTCAGCATCTTTGGCATGTCGGAATGCTTAGTTGGACAAATCTGATTTACAGTGACTGATTTGTCACAAATGTAAAGGAATGTTCTGTTTGAAATGTTTCTCTTTTTGGAATGATTGGATTGAGATGCATCATGCTTTAAAACCTTTGACCAGTCTTCAGTGAATGGTACGATACGGTACGGTTTGGTACGCTTTTATGGCCGTTTCCACTGTCAAAAGGTACCAAAAAGGAATCCGTACTGTACCACTTTTTGGGTACCCTTTCGAAATAGTACTTAGCAAAACAAAAGGCTAGCAAAAGGCAGAGCATGACACGAACGCTAAAACAAACCATGTCGTCATCTTGATGAACAGCCACATAGCCAAGAAGAAGAGCAGAATCCACCCTTTGTCTCTTTGTTTTTACAAGGCTGTCTAAAGCGCAAGTGGTTTTACTTTCTCGAGAGAGCTCGCATGCGCGTATTTATTTGAAATATCTTACATATCGGAGATTGTAAGAGGCTGTATGTGTTCATATATGCTGCATTTATTTATATTATATAATTACAGACGTTACAGTAGGCTATTTCGCACTGACATTGATCTGCAGTTATAATCAAATCATGTTCATAGAAAGGTTAGTAATTAGGGGTGTCAAAATTAATTGTTTCTTCGGTGCACCGCGATGCAGACGCGGACAATTCGGTATGGGTTCAGTAATAATCATAACCGGTAATTATGTACTGACTTCATTTATCTCCCATGCGCTCTGTCGTGAGGGAGGTGAGCGCGAGTATTTACAACACTCAGCCCACTCAGGGCCGGCCCGTGGCATAGGCAGCATAGGCAAATGCTAAGGGCGCTGTATATACAGGGGGGCGCCAGAAATGAGCGTGGTTCAGTTGGTTTTGTTTTCAATATTCCTGACACACATTTAGTTATAGACGGCAATAACTCAAAAACCTCTTACCCTAAAAAGATCTGAAGTGTGTTTCCTACAAAAAGACATAGCTGGTTATGTTTCACAGCTGTCTTTTTTTTTTTTTTCGCTCGACATTACGAGCACTGCTCCGTTTAAGCCCTCGCAATATTTGTTTAACCGGGAGAGCTCGCGCTAAGAGGAGCTCTCAGTAAGGGACCGTCGGAAAAATGCTTCTTTTTTTCGTTTTTTTTTTTCCCGTTTTTCTGCTCCGCTCAGTGCGAGCTCTCCCTGTTGCGAGGGCTTAAGTGTGTGTGTGTGTGTGTGTGTGTGTGTGTGTGTGTGTGTTTGTTTGTTTGGTGCTGCTGTCTATGTTTGTGTATGTGTTTGAATGAGAGGACAGTGTGGTTCTGTGTGTCTGTGTGTTTACACAGACAGCTTGTTATATCCTCCCCCCTAAAATATAACACTGTATGTGGAAAGCATCGTCAATGCACCGTGATGCACCGAGATATCGAATTAAACCGAATCGAAGGCATAATAATTGGAACCGAACCGTGAGACCAGTATAGGTTCACACCTCTATTAGTCTAACATTTCTACTCAAGTATTTATGTGTATAAAGCATTCGTTTTGTGAGAAGTGTTTCTCATATGATTTGTGAACGTCCCGTACAGCTTTACTTTGACATTTTCTCAAGCTAGATTGACGTCGACTGAAACTTTGTCATACACCACGGCCACCAAAAGAGTATCATTGGCAGTGGAAATGCAAGTCTGATAAAAGGGGACCCGTACCGAACTGTACCAGTCAGTGGAGATGGGCCACTAGTGAGCTCACTACTTGGATGCATATTTTTGACCATCATTCGACTCTAAATCTAACAAGCTGCAAAGTCTTTTAGGCATTAAAGTTTTATAATAAGCATTAAATTTGAATGTTCATCTTGAATGTTTGAACAGGCCTGTGATCAGCTTGTGTAAAAACGTTACAAGCTTTTCCTTCAACTGCACAATAAGGATTGTTTGTTGTTAGTCTAAGAGCACCGTCGAGGAGAGAAACAGACAGAATAACACTCCCTGACGCCCCACCTGGGAGATTTTCGGCCTGCAGCCTCATCTGTTTGTTTCAATAGTTGATTTGTTTGTCTGGTGTGTGGGCTGACTTGTTTTTCCTCTGCCGTGTTGTGCGTTTGTGTGGTGTGATAATGGCTCATCTCTCAGTGACCTGAACAAAGCGTGTCTATGCGTGTGTTTGCATTGCTGGGTTTAGGAGCCCCGAGGACAAACTGGTGTTTCGAGTTTTGTTGCCCCCGGGCAGAGTTCACTTCCTCCTCCTCTAGTTTTGCTTTTTGTTTTCTGGATTATTTCAACTCGTGATTGGTTCTCAAGCCAAATCCGGTGTAAATTCTTCCATGTTGTCTAAACAGATGTGATCAAGTGTTGAATAAAAATGGATCAGCATTCGGTTTTATGACATCAGGCACATTTTGAATATATGTTGCCCTTATTTAGTAAAAAAAAAAAAAGTCGACTAATCCTGTTGGTTTTCATCCATGTGCTTAAATACTCAAATTACACTTGTAATATTGCTCTTGCTGTCACATTCACAAACCAGCAGAACACCTGTGCACTATTTGACCGCATGCCAGCCAGATGGCACAATTGGGTCTTTCCTAGTAACCCAC